GAACACAGGGGGGTTGTCATTTACATCAGTGATAGTGACATTAATAGTCTTCTTAGATGATAGAGAGGGTGAGCCTGAGTCAGTGGCTGTAATCTCGATATTATACTCCGAGAATGTCTCTCGGTCTAAATTACGGCCAGTAACCAGTGCGTAATTGTCAGAAAAAGAGGGTTTCAGTTTAAAAGGAGAGCCCTTTGGGAGCCATAATGTCACTTTACCATTGTCACCGGAGTCAAGGTCTCGAGCTGTAAGCAGAGCTACTACTGTACCACTTGGTGCATCTTCTGGTACTGGGCTCGGTTTTGAAGTCAGAACAATTTCTGGAGCGTTATCATTTATATCTATTACCTCCACCTGTACGCGACAGTGACCTTCCATTTCAGGAATTCCTTTATCTTTTGCACTGATATCTAACTCGTGAGTTGCAAAGTTTTCATAATCCAATTTTCCTTTAAGGAAAATTTCCCCTGTTGCAGAGTTGATCTGAAAAATAGAGCGCAATATCTCTGGTGTATGGTCAGCAAATGAATATTCAATTTCTCCATTCACACCCTCGTCTTGGTCAGTTGCTTCTACCTTTGCGAGCATTAAGCCACTTTGACTGCTTTCAGGCACCGTAATTTTATATAACGGTTTTTTGAAAACAGGAACATTGTCATTATTGTCTAGAACGGTCACTGTGATCTTTGATGTTCCCGTTTTGACAGGATTCCCTCCGTCTAATGCTGTTAACAGTAATTGATGAATACCTTGTTTTTCTCTGTCAAGCGTTTTTTCAAGTACAAGCTCCGGTACTTTTCTGCCATTCGCAAGTTCTTTAATTTTTAAACTAAAGCATTCATCTTTGCTAAGACTGTATGATTTTAGGGAATTAATACCCACATCGAGGTCTTGTGCTGTCTCCAAAGGGTAGCGCGCACCCACCGCTGTCAACTCCGCAATTTTCAAATGTTTTTCTTTGCTAAGGAATTTCGGTGCATTGTCATTAACGTCTCTAATTTCCACTTCTATACGATATAGATGTAGTGGATTCTCTATTACTACTTGAAGAGGCAACACACAGCTGGCGCTTTGTCCACATAAAGCCTCTCTGTCTATTCTGTCATTCACCACCAGCTCGCCCTTCCCCGTATCCACGCTGAAATACTGCTTACCAGCCTCAGAAGCGACACGCAGCTTACGGTCAAAAATGTCTGATAGTCCCAAACCCAGATCTTTGGCAAGATTTCCTACCACAGAGCCCTGTTTTAATTCTTCTGGGATACTGTAACGAGTCTGTCCGTATATTGTACTCCACAAAGCGAAGAAATGATGCCACCAAAGCGCCAGCCATCTCCAGTCTCGGTGTCTGATTCTCTTTGTCATTCCCGATCCGTTAGGATGTGTTATTTCCCATCGATATATTGTTCACATAACCACCTCGAAAATAATTCCAGCGCCAGAATGAATATGATGCTAGAGATCAATCCACAAATGCACGTTAATAACAAAGGTCTAAATTTTGGACATTTGTGTATACGCACATCTCCTCTCCACCTCCATCTCGGAGCATTGTGCCAGTTACTGTGACGCGACTGAATGGGGGATGGAGTAGATCTCTTTGTAGAGATCTGTATGCCATTGGTTCAGAGCATACATCTATACTATCCAATGACGGAGCACTAACATTGCTATTTGGGTTTTGCACCACCTCTCTCACAATACAAACAAGAGAGGGGAATACAAATTGGTGTTATACAAGCACAATAGAATGGAAAGACACAAAAAATGCCCTGTTTCCAAAGTAAAAGAAAAAAAAAACTTTACATTAAATTATTGTGTACTGCTGTCGCAGAGAGAAGAGAACGTTATGAACGAACTAGATCGTGATAAGAAATAATTCGATTCTTTAAGTATGTTGCCATCATTACGTTTTCAGTGTTTGTGATATTTTCTATCACAGTAGAAAGATGTCGGAGAAAAATGAAACAATTGTGAATATTTCAAGATCCTCAGAGAGTACTTATGGAAAGAAAATCACGACTGAGTGGAAGGAATAAAATATACAGACGCAAAAACAAAAAACAAACCAACAAACAAAAAACCCACAACATTTTTTTTTGAAAGGGCGTTATTCTTTTAGGGTGATTCAGACAGGAAAGTAAATAAAGTGGTTTTCGATTGAAATGGGAACGCGGGTTTTAATGCTAATGGATCACGAGTTAAAAGGACAACAGTAATAACCCTTAACGGAAAGCTAAGTTGCAATAAATTCCGATTCAATACCACAGTTTTAATAATGCTAATAGAAAAAATTCTATACTGAAAAAGAATATCTGCACTGTGCAAAAAAAGCAACATTTCAAGAATTTAATGAACACCGCTGATTTTTCAAAGTGACTTAAAAACGACGATAAGAATAATAATGATCTAAAAGCTTAGATCTACTGTTTTTTTGTCCTCACCTGCTGGCTCTCAAAGGTCCAGGTGCTGTCAGGCAAAGAAGCATCCAGGACACTGATCACCTCCTTAAAGTCTGTGGTGCTGCTGGGTTTAATCAGAGTGAAATCGCTGTACTCTGACATCGGAGACATACAGGACCTGAAGGACTGACTCTGAGACAGCATGTCTCCTCCCAGGACCTCCACGTA